AAGAAATTTAAAATTTAAAATTCAAAAACCTAATTACACGTCTTATTATACCAGCAATTTACAATATAATAACATAATAATAAATTAAATAAAATACATTAGCTATAAATGTAAACTAATTAAAATAAATTTAAATTAATTAAAAGTATCTACATTATCATTATCATTATTATTACTATAATTATCACGCGTGCCGTAACAAAAATAAAGGATATCGTATCGATAAAAATCTAGCCATTAAACTTCCTTGCCATAGCAAATATAAAAGTGTTCATCGTTCTAGAAGTGCGAAGGCGTGGCATATTAAATTGGCGCTTATTTTTGAAGTTATAGCTGGGTTTATGTATGGGTGGAAGAAGCGCCTTTAACTTGTGGCTAGGGTTGTCTAAGATACCTTTAAAAAGCTTCTGACATAGAAATTCGTAATGTTCTAAGATGGGTCGTATTCCTAAATCTTGAGCAACCGCGCAATCACCCGCAGTTATAATGGAAATTGACCGTTTCTCAATACGTAAAAGCTCATTCTTCAGATATTGCGGAAGCGCATTATAGAAGACAGGTATCGCGTACTCTGTTACAGATCTTACACATGATGTGTAGAAAAGTACTAGGTCTTGTAAGGGAACCCTAGCTCTCTTTAGTTGCACTAAAAAATACAACCTCTTACTGGCCTTTTTGATTACTTCTGATATATGACTGTTCCAGGTCAAATCGCTAGCTATATTAAGGCCCAGGAGCTTTACGCTACCAACTACCTCCAACTCTTTGCCTTCAATTACTATGGGATCAAAGAACCCGGGCCTTTTAGAAAATGAGATCCGAAGCTCTTTGCACTTATCAGAATTCAAGTGAACTCTATTTTCCCGTGACCACTCAATAACACAATCTGCTATATTTTGGGCGTGACTTTCACTCTCTTTTGGTATCATCTCCGAGGCTGTTGTATCATCAACGTATTTCCATAGTGGATACTCGATTTCAAGGTCATTTATCATAAGCACAAATAACCATGGGCCCAATTTTGTGCCCTGTGGTACTCCGGAGGGCACAGATCCCCACTCCGAAAAGCACTCCGCAGCCAGCTTAATTCTTTGTGATCTATCAGAAAGAAAATCAACTATCCAATTGGTAATACTAACTGGCAATTTACACTTAGTACGCAGTTTTCTAATCAGAATTTCATGGTCGATAAAATCAAAGGCCTTTCGATAATCGAATAAGATTGTTCTTACAGTAGCGCCATTTCCATCAGTGTTAATTGACCAATTATGTAACATGCTAATTAAGGCCATAGTCGTGGAAGAGTTTGGTATTGCCCCGTATTGGCTGTCGTCAATGATACTCATAACAGCTGGTTTGACGTAGTCGTCCACAATAAACCCTTCTGCGACCTTAGAAATGCATGGAGTAAGCGAGATAGGTCTTAGGTCCTTTTTCAGTTCCTTTACTGATTTCTTTTTGGGCAGGGGTGTCACGTCAGCCAACTTCCACATTTTTGGTAAATGCTGCTCGGAGTAGGAGGCATTAAGGATTTCTGTCACTGGGAAAGCTACTGCATCTGAATATTCCTTCAGTAGCCAATTGGGAATTCTATCAGGCCCACACGCTTTCCCAGGGTTAAGGTGAGACAGAACCTTCTGAACACGTTGTTCACCCACGTGCAGGATCTCTGGTGTTGTATTCGCCTCCATGGGGAGAAACTCTAGTGGAGTTGGCAGTCTGTACTCCTCCAGCGGTTCTAAAAACGCGGCATTGATGGTGTTGGCCTTTTCTATTAATGACAATTCTGAAAAACCTTCCACGTCAATCTGGCTCAAAAGGTCGCCATTTTTCCTTTTTGAGCCGCTCAGACGCTTTACTTCGTCCCACCATTTCTTTGGGGCTTCTTGTCTTAAATTCTGAATTCTCACTTCATAATATTTAGCTCTGCATGCCTTTCTTTCCCGGTTAACCAGATTTCGGAAGAACTTGAATTGGGCAGAGTCGCCGCCATATGATTTGAACGCTTTTTGTCTTTTCAGTATCATTGACTTCAGCTTATGGTCAATCCAAGGAGCGTCCGCACTACAGGTGCGAATTTCTTTCTCAGGCATCAGAATATCAAGCCCTGTATGTACAGCAGTGTGGAAAATCTCCCACTTTTCCTGGCAACTATCCGTAGGAGCGAACAATAAAGGCCAATCAATAGAGGTTAGATATCTCCCCAAGGCAGCCTTGTTACTCTCACGTAAGTCACGCCTTTTAACAACGTGCTTTCTGTTTACATCACGTTTACCATCTTTTGGCGACACAACAACAGCGTTGTGATCCGACAACCCGAATGGAGGGTAGGCTTGTGGCGGATTATAGTATTCTTGCATGTTAGTGAGCACCAAGTCTAATATGGCATCCTTCCGGGTCTGAACTTGAACTATTTGCTGGAGACGAAAGTGATTCAGCAAGCCCTTAATATCCAAGCAGTTGAAATCCCCTGTGACGACCAATCCACAGTTGGGATATCGCGTCTCCGCTAGGACGAGGGACTGGAACAAATGCTCCCGGATAGATGTCCCATCGGCCTTGGGGGGGTGATAGATCACTGCCGCGATTATGCAGGAAAACCCCCGGGGGAGGCGGTTTGGTCTTAGATGGAGCTTGGTCTTAGATGGAGCTTATGACGTAGCGCCTGACAGGCAGCACGCGTTTTTTCCTGCTCCGTGATTCAAAGCGAACTTTCTTCAAAATAACTTCCTCGAAACGACAAAGAGCACTATTTTAATCACAAGTAGATTTTTATAATATTGGCCTCTAGTTACATGGCGATATTTTATTCAAGAGCGGCACTGAATGCCATTTTATCTTCAACGACGAAGAAGTCGCTCGGTCGTGAGTTATGGCGCAACATATCTGATCTGGGAATAACACGGCAAAGACCTACACGTCGAGGGACAAGAGCAGGACAGCGCAAACAAAGGCAGATTGGGATTTGCATGGGGAATGGAGCACGCAAGATTCAGCAATTTCCGAACTTTAATGGGTGTTTCTTTGCCAGGAACTTAATCCTTCACAGGAAACCTCATTTACATAACCAACTGGCGAACATATTAAATATTCAAAATGACACCTTTCCACGTAGCAATCTAAACAACTGCATTGTTATAGATCGCACCAAGGAAAACAGAGCAGCCAGTACTGAATGGTCACCCAAAGTTCCTAAGATCATGTTAGCGAATGTCATGTCTTTAGCCCCCAAAATGGATGAAGTTAGCGAGTTTATCACTCGTAATCATATCAACCTTGCGTTCGTTACGGAAACCTGGCTAAAGGACTCTGTGTTGGACACCGTTGTTGACATCCCCGGGTTTGCTATTGTGCGTGAGGACAGGAAGACACTAGAACACGGTGGTGTGTGTGTCTATATTCAAGAAAAACAGTTTGCAGGTGTTACTGAAGCGGTAATTTCCTCTTTACCCAAGAGAACAAAAACCCTGTTTAAAAAAAAAGAATATTTGTAGAATTAAACAATTCACGCTACTCACGGAAATTACGGACTATTTTTTACCACGGTAAAAATCAAAGTTGATCTCATTTGTCAGGTTTTTCGATCCGTTACCACGGGCAGCCAAAGAATTGAGTTCAATCATAAAATTTGTTGGAGCGGTTCCTAAGATAATTCCGTTCTCTCAGTTAGCTTTTCGTCCCTTGCCTTTTCAGCTCTTTTACAACTTCCTGTCGATAGCGTTGAATTTGCCTTGGTGCTCAGTTCATCTTTCTGTTTTGCCTCTGCCTACATCACTTTACAACATGAAAGTTAATCTAAGCCATGCATAAATCTGCAAAGACCATAACGATCACACTAGCACGTTTCATCTCGAAATCAATCGTTTCACTATCATGCATTCTTATTGGGCATCGTACTAATGCAATGTCGCTGTACTTTGTCGTATAGTGCTGGAAACATGCACTTTCAAAATAAAGTATAATTGTTTTGTCTCACGAAGTGAAGTCACTTCAGATGTGTGAAATTCAAATGGAATAATTGGGCTATAGATATCTTCTTTTGTGCATGTTATCAGTGGTGATAAAGTATTAAAAATTAAAAGCAAACAGGTTCTTTCTTATTGATAATAAGAAATACGTGCAAAGAAACTTTTTATGATATTAATAGAACTAAGTCAATCACGGGTATAAGGTTTGAGGACAGCAATTACAAGGCTGGTTTTCCGCAGGTTATTTTGGGCTTTACGCCGATAACAAAAGCTTTCGCGGAAGCTTCTGTCTTGAAGACATCCTATCCTTATTTTAATTCAAAACTTGTCTTTTGTACTCTTGCGAGTTTACATGCACTCTTTTTCTTCTCGAAGAAGCCCGTCAGTCCGTAGGAAAGAGATCATGCGTGGCGCGAGTGTCATGAATGATATCTGTCCTTGCAGAGCTCAGCAAAGTAAGCCACCGCGACTGACAACTAATTGGAGAAAATTTAGATACTTGAAAAACCGGTGTGGGGCGGCCCCTTTTGTCTGAGGGAACTGAGGGATCCGATGTTCATTACTTGAGGTCTGCAACAGGCGGACCACGAATGCTAACAATATCTGTCAATGACTTCAGCTCGTCTTGAAAGTATAGCATGTAAAAAGGAGATGAGAGAGGAACCCTTTAATGAAAGGAAAATAGAAACCAAGTTCATCAAACTGTAATCAAGAAAGTTAAACAATTTTTAGACCAAGCTACTTTCTGAATGTCTAAATACACACCATTTTATTAAAAATGCCTCCCTCAGTAATTGCACGGTATATGGGCAGTTTTCGCAGCGATTACGTAAATAAATTACAGACTGAACTAAGTTACAATTACTGATCATATCGCTAATAAAGCGCCACTCAAATTTGAAGAAAAATAGCAAAAGCTTCATGGTTGATTTTTCTTAAAAGGAAATCCGTTACCTCTACGTACTATTAAAAAAATTGAGCTCCTCAAAAACGAACAAAAAAGAAGCAAAAACAACACGATATCGTTAAACCTGATCGAGAACGAACAATCAGTTCAAAGCAATGTACAGTTCGCAGCCGATTTTAAGAATCAGTTTAATCAGTCTATACTGGCAAATTTTTGACGTATTGATAGGCGTTTGGGCCCAACTTGTCGATGATTTCTTGGCGAACTTTCCCATACACCTCCTCGTCTAGGGTGATGACTTGAGTTGCCTTGTGCAAAGTTATATCTTGGGAATTGTAGTTGGAGAATAAGTAGTCGTCCGACACCTGACTGGCCTTAAAATAGGCAGCAATTGAAGCAAGGCTGACTTGGCCATTCATAACTGTGCATGGAAGGATTTGGAAAAGACCATGTTGCTCTGATGCACTATTATCTGCGAACAGAGTTAGGCCTTGTGGCGACTTAGCGAAGCTATCCAAGGTTTCCTTTACGACTGTCAACAGTTGCTTGTCGTTACCCACCAGTGCGCTCAAAAGCTCCAAAGTTACCTCGGATAACTTGAAAGAAGCCTGATGAGACTTGTACTCGTCGAAGCCGAACTTTTGCATATCCCAGCCCACATTGCTTAGCACATCGAAGTAAAATTGGTACCAGTATCCGACATCCCTTTTGTCAGGGAACTTCTTGGTTGCCGCCAGCTGAGCCAACAAAGTGGAGTTTTGGACGTCATGCATCTGTTGAGTACTCAGCTCAGGGGTAAAGGAAGCAAGGCTACCAGCGACAACTTTGGCAGCGGGCGAATCGAGTGTCAGAGACTCAACGAGTTTGAGGGACCTTACGAATGCTAGCCGGCTTGACATGGTGATATAATTCACGGAAGGTCTGATGATACAAGCAGGAGCTAAAACCCTGGCTTTTAAGGGTTTCAAACAAAAGAAGCAACGTAAAGTGAAACATGCTACTCCTCAAGGAGATTACGGACTATATATGGTAAAAAGTCGATCCCATTGGTCAGGTTTTTCGATCCTTTATCACTGGCAGCCATCCAATTTATTGGAGCAGCTCTTTAGATAATTCCGTTTTGCTGCTGGTTTACGCCGTTTACGTTTAAGGAAGAAAATAACAGACCCCTTAACCGTTGACCCCAGCATTGTAACGACATCCTGTACATCAAGCTATTCATTAGAAATCACAAGTTCTTTGTGAAAATACTTATGAAGCCCTTCTCAGTAATTGTCTGTGCCGAGCTGTAAGGCGTCATGTAATGATATTGGCGGGAGTCACTGAAGTGGTAATTTCTTTCTTACACCCTGTCTTTGAAGAGGTTCAAAACAAAATAATATCTGCAGAGTTAAATATGCAACTGTTCACAGAGACTATGGACTACATGTGACCCTCCACGCGGGATTTCAGGGAATAAGGTGAACGCACGCACACGGCATGCTTGCACGCTCAAACAAAAGAAATAGCTTTTAACGCGTTTGTTGCTTCATTAACTTCGCAACAACTGTCTTGCTTCGCACGGTAGAAACAAAGGAACGTGTTAAGATCTTGCTTGCAACTTTGCACAATATAGCACGGGGATATTGCCAATTTTATAACATGCCTCTTAAAGTTAAAGTTGCTTTCGATGTGTACAAGAAGTACGTCCTAAGCTGTAAGGCTTTGTTGCTCACTGATACGCCTGGCCGATACGATACTCAATATCCAGTGATGATACAAGCGGGAGCTAAAACCCAGGCTTTTAAGGGTTTAGAACAAAAGAAGATATGTAAAGTGTATCGTGCTACTACACAAGGAGATTACGGACTACATATAGTAAAAAGTTAATCCCACTGGTCAGGTTTTTCGATCCTTTACCACAGGCAGTCATCCAATTTGTTCGAGCGGCTCTGTAACTAATTCCGTTTTTCTGTCCGTTTATGCCACGCCGAAAAAAAAGGAATAAAATAACAAACCCTTAACCGTTGACCTCCAAAGTCAACGCTGAGTCAGCATTGTAACGACATCCTGTAAGTCAAACTATACATTAGAAATCACGAGTTCTTTGTGGAAATACTTATGAAGCCCTTATCAGTAATGGTCTGTGCCGAGCTGTGAGGCGTCATGTAATGATATTGGCAGGAGTCACTGGAGCGGTAGTTCCTTCTTAAAAACCTGTCTTTGCATGAAGAGGTTCAAAACAAAATAATATTTGTAGAGTTAAATATGCAACTCTTCACAGAGACTATGGACTACATGTGACCCTCCACGGGATTTCAGAGAATAAGGTGAACGCACGCACACGGCATGCTTGCACGCTCAAACAAAAGAAATAGCTTTTGACGCGTTTGTTGCGTGTTAGTTATTTGCCTCATTAACTTCGCAGCAACTTTGCACGATATAGCACGGTGATCGTGCCAATTTTATAACACGCCTTTTAAAGTTAAAGTTCCTTTCGATGTGTACAGGAAGTACGTCCTAAATAAGCTGTAAGGCTTTGTAGCTCACTGATACGCCTGGCCGATACGATACTCAATATCCAGTGATGTTACAAGCGGGAACTAAAACCCAGGCTTTTAAGGGTTTAGAACAAAAGAAGATATGTAAAGTGTATCGTGCTACAACTCAAGGAGATTACGGACTACATATAGTAAAAAGTTGATCCCACTGGTCAGGTTTTTCGATCCTTTACCACAGGCAGCCATCTAATTTGTTCGAGCAGCTCTGTAACTAATTCCGTTTTTCTGTCGGTTTATGCCACGCCGAAAAAAAAGGAAAAAATAACAAACCCTTAACCGTTGACCTCCAAAGTCAACGCTGAGTCAGCATTGTAACGACATCCTGTAAGTCAAACTATACATTAGAAATCACGAGTTCTTTGTGAAAATACTTATAAGGCCCTTATCAGTAATGGTCTGTGCCGAGCTGTAAGGCGTCATGTAATGATATTGGAGTCACTGAAGTGGTAGTTCCTTCTTAAAAACCTGTCTTTGCATGAAGAGGTTCAAAACAAAATAATATTTGTAGAGTTAAATATGCAACTCTTCACAGAGACTATGGACTACATGTGACCCTCCACGGGATTTCAGGGAATAAGGTGAACGCACGCACACGGCATGCTTGCACGCTCAAACAAAAGAACTAGCTTTTAACGCGTTTGTTGCGTGTTAATTATTTGCCTCATTAACTTCGCAGCAACAGTCTTGCTTCGCACGGTAGAAACAAAGGAACGTGTTAAGATCTTAATTGCAAAAGTAAATCTGAGCCATAAATCAGCAAAGACCATAACGATCACGTTAGCACGTTTCATCTCGAAATCATTTGTCTGGCAGCCATCCAATTTGTTGGAAGGGGTCTATAACTAATTCCGTTTTTCTGCCGGTTTATGCCACGCCGAAAAGAAAGGAAGAAAATAACAAACCCCTTTTGAAGAGGTTCAAAACAAAATAATATTTGCAGAGTTAAATATGCAACTCTTCACGGAGACTATGGACTACATGTGACCTCCAAGGGATTTCAGGGAATGAGGTGAACCCACGCACACGGCATGCTTGCACGCTCAAACAAAAGAACTAGCTTTTGACGCGTTTGTTGCGTGTTAGTTATTTGCCTCAGTAACTTCGCAGCAACTGTCTTGCTTCGCACGGTAGAAACAAAGGAACGTGTTAAGATCTTGCTTGCAAAAGTAAATCTGAGCCATAAATCTGCAAAGACCATAACGATCACGCTAGCACGTTTCATCTCGAAATCAGTTGTCTCGCTATCATGCATTCTTAGTGAGCATCATACATATGCAATGTCGCTGTACTTTGTCGTAGTGCTGAATATATGCACTTTCAAGATGAAGTATAATTGTTTGTCTCACGATGTAAAGTCACTTCGAATATGCGGAATTCAAATGAAATAATTGTGCTATAGATATTTTGCCTTGTGCATGTTATCAATAAGGTATAAAATTAACAGCAAAATCAAATGATAGAATTAAGGGTTGGTTGACACAGAGAGATAAATAACTAAAATACTTCATCAAATTTTCTGGACTCGTTGCCTTAAAAAGGCCCCCCTTAGTTATTCTCTAGGCCGAGCTGTTAAGACGTCATGTATGTAATCATATTTGCAGGAGTCACTGAAGGGATAATCTCCTTCTTTTCAGCTTGAAGTCAGTGAATAACAAATACAGTTTGAGTTTCCAACGAACAGTCCATCTCAAGCGTTCAAGTGTTTAATGAAAAAAAGGTTGTATAGTCGTTGGCGATGGGATAGTCATCACTGGTGTTCCAGCTTCCTCACAGAATAAATGGAGTCCATTGTGGAAGTAATCAACAAAACAACTCAAAGGTCTTCCTATTAGATAATAAGAGACACGAGCAAAAAACTTTTTATGATAATAGAACTAAGTCAATCACGGGTATAAGGTTTGAGGACAGTCACTCCAAGGCTGGTTTTTCCGCTGGTTTACGCCACGCCGAAAAAGGACACGAAGAGAATAACATTGTGAAGACATCCTGTACGTCAGGCAATAGATTAAAAATCACGAGTTCTTTGTGAAAATTTTTCCGCCTGCATGAAGATGTAATTATTCCCTCGTCAAAGTATCCGAGACTCTAAAACTCTTTGAGTTGCTTTCAAGGTACAAGTCTTAGTCCATTAATGAAAAATACATTTTATCGGTGGTGAGCTTGGGCTCCCTTTCAAATTACAAACACTTCCTGTTCTTAGAATCAAGGTGACCAAATTAATGACTTACGTGAGCTTGAGAGTATGAATTACGGTAGAAGCTTAATCGTTTGATTGACCAGAGAAGATCATTGGCAATGGTGATAACATTTCGTTAGTACTGCCCTTGGAACATATGATCGACTTCCACTGACACTCATTTTAAAAGATTTCATATATAAGCAATCATGCCAGTTTCAAAACTGTAGCCTGAGCGTAAAAAAATGACATGTTGTTTTGAATGTTGTCGCTTAAGTTATTTTTGACATCTTTTTTTCTCATGCTGATCCCAGACATCAAACAAACAACAAGAACTGCATCGGTCCCCTTCTTTTAATTTTTGCTACAAGTATACGTAGTTCACAAACTTTCAAGGCTCAACTATCAAGGAAGCAATTAAAGATACAATGTCAAACAAACCCAAGTTTTCATAACAAAACATGGCCTACATGTATACGTTAAGACGTCATAATCATACCTCTACTGATTCAGTTGTATTCTTTGCCTATTTTCGCGTCAAGCAAACTAACATACCAACGATAACGATTAATTTCTGATAGCTACTCTATTAGAGGAAATTAAAAGTTGCCAAAAAGCACTTCTCAGGTGTATACCCTCATTACAACTACTCATTACAACTACTCCAAAGTGAGAATGTCAGCGGAATGAACGACGGGCTTTTACCCGGCGACCCAAGTGCGCTTGAGACCCATTGAAGATAGATTTAATTTCTAAATGGAGGCTTTGTTCGCGTTGCGGGCCTACATTTCGTTACTGGAAGTGGCGCCTGGGAATTTCTTCTCGTAGGAAACATAACCCCATCCACCATCGCCACAATCGAAAGTTCTTAAGTTGGCGGTCATGCCGCTGTTTTACATTATCTCGATCGCTTCGGTGTTTTACATACTTCCCGCTCAAGGTAGAGTTTTTAACAGGTCACAAAGCCTCGTGTTCAACGAAACAGACCGGACAGTTGTGACTTCGATGTTTAAGAATTTTGTTCGAAAATTCAACAAGGCCTACTTGAATAATCCCGAGGAATACATCTGGCGTCAGTCTGTTTTCAAGGTGAGCCTAGTTACCTTTACTTTAATGGATTCAAAAGTATACCAATCTTCTTATCTTTTGTCGAAATATAATAGAAGTTATTAATGAGTGATCATTCATTCGCAGAGTATTATTACTCTGCGAATGAATTCGATCACATGAATAACTTCTGTACTCCAAATTTTGTTCGCATCTTTTGCAATAATGCTTCAGGAATGGCAATTGTCATATTTTCATATGGATGGAATTGTTATATAATGATATGAAGTGTTATAACTTACGAGATGAAGAATATATCTTGAGGTGTTATTTCTTGGAAATTTTTTATAGCAACATTCCTTAATAATTTCTTCTATGCCCATCACGAGGTACATGCTCATCGGAAAGAATGCTTGTTCGTTACGTCGATTTCCGACAGATAGTTGTATGATATTTGATGTTTGAAACAGAAACTAATTTCTCCTTATAAAAACATTTTAACCATGAACAATTACACTGAAAGCCCTTTAGGTTTTCATTTTCCTTGTCAATCACCTGTATCTAGAAGTCATCGGAAAGGTTGCAACATTGTGACTTTAAAGCATCTAGTTCATCAAGTTGCTATTAAATAGTATGATAGGATTTGAAATCAATACTTCATTAAATTTATTTGAATTGATATTAATCACTTTAAACTTTTAAATGCCTATCATACACTTACATATGTTAAATATCTTCACACTGTAGCAAAGCCTGGTCAGACATGCCAAATTGAACGCAAGAGAGTTGGAATTAAATGGTACTGCTGAGTATGGCATAAATCAGTTTTCTGATTGGACACCAGAAGAATTTAGAGGTGGGTGACTGTTTCCTATTTTCTGAAAAAGGGCTGATTCAATCTCCTGTTTGTACTCAAGCAAATTGGCCCATGCAGCTGAGCTTATCATGCATGGTTTCCATAGCATAAAGTGAGTAGGAGTATTACTAATTCCCCCAGTATGGGGAATGCTAGTTTATCACAAGGTAATATCCCCCAACATTTCATTGGGCTTCCCAGACAATTTGCTGTAACTCGTTTGTACTTGTACTTGTATATTCGGAGAGAGGTTCTGTGTGAATAATAAAAGAACACAACACAGTGACCAGGTCAGGTCTCGCACCTGGTCTATCAACCCAGAGTCCAACTACACTGATTATTAAGCAACTGCATGTTCCACTTTACCACATTCTGATTGAAGTACAAAATGATCAGAACTTAATTTCTCTTCTCCTTGAATGATTGTATTGACAATTCCCACTTCATGCTGAGCAACTTGTCAGCTCCCTACAAATTTGAGCAATTACCAATGACATCTTGGTAAAGAGAGGCATTGTAATTAGTCCATCATCTTCCTCACCAAAATTAAACTCAATAACCTGGGCCATATTCAACTTTCTGTTGCATGAAATAATACATTAAACTGTTCATACTTTGCTGGTGAGTTCTTTCGTGGGATGTTACAGCTGTAGCTCTGTGCTGTACTGGCAGCCTTCACACTATATTGACTGCTGTTCCTGGTTAATGTTTATCAGTTATCTTCAAATATCTTAGTTAGAGCTGATATCTCTATTAGAAGGGGTTAAATATCTTGCCTTGAAATAAGGAAGAAGAAAAAAGAAAAGAACAAAATATTGTTGATCCTAAGTGACTTTTTTTCTGTTCCTCTATAGCTGGGTTGCTGTGTTGGTCCATAGATTCTTTGTTGTGGAAAGAAAAACAGATGAGAACTTCGGTGTTGTTTATTCCTTTTTATAGAATTTCTCAAAAGAGGGGTACAAGAAGATCATGTCTCATTTACCAAGAATGCCATGACACCTTCTGGCTGTTGTACACCAAAACTGAATTCTTCAAACACACCACCTAATCGTGACTGGTAAGTATGCAGAAAAAAGATCTTGTAGGTCAGAACTGGGAAAAAACGGGGTGAACATCCTAATCTGGATTTGCTAAGTCAAAAATTGGTCTTGAGGAAATTCATGAGTACACATTTGTGGATAAACAAAATGATAAATAAATAAAACTATTCAACAAGCACCACTTGTTGGAAGACTGGATAATACTATCCACTGGATCTCTGTCCGTTGGATAGTGTAGCATTTTTTATTACCATTTGCATGCCAATAAATATATTGTTTATTCTTCATTTATTTATAAATATGTTATTTATAACTTTGTTTGTTTCTGTAAGCAACATCATGATGATTTTTTTCTTCAGGAGAAAAGATGGAAAAGTATCAGCTGTGAACAATCAAGGAAAGGTGCTATATACTGTTAATTTTTCACATCAAATTATGAAGTCTTGATCGAAATTCAATATACTTTTTACAATAATTGTAATCATCATAACCGTTTCAGAAATAAAACAAATTATTTTACTCTTTAGAATCTTGAGAAAACATGAATATAGCTTCAAAAGAGCATTTGTGCAATAATTTATGTTTAATATGCATGCACTGCAGTATCTTCAGTATTTTTGACAGATTTGTGAAATTAGGTTAAAACAAAATCTTAATAGAATACAGTTACATTATTTTCAGATTAATTTTATATTTCTGATACCTCATCGCCAATGAATGTGATTGGCGTCATTCAATCCTTTTTGTTTCATTCAGTTTATGCTTAAAAAGTCAGTAACTGATAAATTGTGATGACAGCTGTATTGCACGTTTTATTATCAATTTCTTGTATTCAGATGTCATGATCATTTGTTCAAATTTCCAATTATATCATTATAATGTTATTGATAATGATAATATTATTTATAGGAAAAGTGTTAAGATGGCTAAAATCAATGATTTTGGTGATGATCTGTTCCTAATGACAGTTTTCTTTTTTTCATGCCCTGTTTTTTACATTAACTGAATGGGAACAGTGTGGAAGTTGTTGGTGAGTAAAACTTTTTTCCAAAAAAATGTGACTAAGAGCCACATGTAAGGAGGAACTGAATGAAGCAAACATTACTTTATCACTTTGGATTATTTTTTTTTTATTTGTTAAGTCTTTAATTTTGCACATGTTTTTTAATATTTTAAAAGGTTTTTTTTTTAACTTGTTTTTCCAGGGCTTTCACCGCAACTGAATGTGTAGAGAGCCAATGGGCAATTCATAATGAACATCAGACTATAAAAGACCTCAGTGTCCAGGAACTGATTTCATGTTCTCCTTCTCAAGGATGTTCAGGTGGTAATACCCTTGCAGCTCTTAAATGGTTACAAACAAAGGTAAGTGGTGACAATGAGGACATTATCCCCCTACACCCTAACATCAGTATGCCTATGCTATAAATATATTTTTATATATTTGTTATGGTATTTACAAGAAGAATTTGTTTGATGGTCAAGAGCCGTTTTAGTTAGTGATCATTTCCTTTATTCTCATGACCATAATGTCTGATTCAACAGAGACACTGTGAGGAGAAATAAGATGCCAATCACTCGTAAGGGTTAAAGGGTCAAAGTAAATAGGTATGGGGGATGCAGTAGGCTGACCTACATGTATTACTGGTTAGCACCCACGACTCATAGGTGAAAAGGTCAGGACAATCCTGGCTCAGGTCATGGTAAGGTGTTTTGGGGCAAGACACTTGAGCGTGGACAGTGCCTCTTTCCATCAAGGAGCAGAATAGGGAGAGGGAATGACTGAACCTGGAATAGATTACCACACCATCCAGAATGGATAATAATACTCCTGACCAGAGTACTTATAATACTTTAACTTGCAGCATGGGCTTGTTTGCCTGAGCTTTTTTACTTTTTCTTATATTGCATACAGTACATTAGCATGAAATGTGGATATTATCATGGTTAACCCTTTAACTCCCATGAGTGACTAAGACAGAATTTCTCCTTACAATATCAATACAATATCAAGCAGACAAGTGATGAGAATAAAGAAATATGTCAATTAGGGGATTATAAGTTGATCCAATACCAAATTCTCCAAACTAGCATCACAAGAACTGTATCGCAGACAGTAAGGAGAATTACTAATGAGATCTTGGGAGTTAAAGGGTTAATATGGATTTGAATGACCTGCTGTTAAAGCTCTAGTCACCCACATGGTTTATGTATGTAACTATCTTTCTTTTCAGAATTACACACTTGCTCCAGCTAGTGAATTCCCATATGTGGATAAAGAAACAACTTGTAGAGATGATCTTTTGTAAGTACTTTTGCTGCTGAAAACTTTGGTTTTTTTTAGTACATATTGGCTGAAGTCTCCAATTATGAGCAAGGAAGAAAATCAAGACTCACTAGTCTCAGGTCCTGTGTCAGTTTGTAACAAAATTGACAACTCATATTTCATCTCTCGCACCTTGTATCAGTGCAGGGCGTGAAATTGCGCTTAAATTTTTTACTTTGGCGACCAAATCCTGAAAGTTAGTCGCCAAATTGGCGACTAGAACGTTTCATCATAACCTTACCAAGAGATATAGTGAATTAAAAAGATTTTCAAAGATAAATGCGCGGCAAACTTCATCGTTAAGTTTGTTTCTAAAACGTAGCACATGCATCTCGATCGATAACTAGACGCCATCTTGGATTTAGATGAGCCTGAACGTTGTATATCATCCATCCTAGTGTCCATTTTGTAGCACGTTAAAGATCTTTTCCCCAACTTAATTTTGGAGGGTCTATCTAGAACGCTGAAAGCGTAAAGAAAGATTTTGTTTGTCTTTGAAAATGGCGACCAACTTTTTTTGAACTACCACCTTGAAGAATTTAGGAGCCAAGTGGCTATCAGAAAAAAAAGTTAATTTCACGCCCTGCAGTGCCATATTAATTGATGTTTTTTAGTTGCTTGGTTATTTTGGATGGAGAAGTTTTTCAAGTGGTAGAATCATGGAATGAAGCAGAATTTTTCTCAAAAAAAGGGGAGTCATAGAATTTTCGGCCTAGATAGTGTGTCAAGTGTCAAGATGTTCAAGCATCAGAACTGAATTTGTAATAAGTATCTCTTGATGCTCATTTTATGCAGGACTGAAAAGGGAGTGAGGATAAAATGCGGATGTGCGGTGCAGATGTGAGTTATAATACTTGTGAGTTTTTTTAACCGTAAATTTTGTTTCAATAAACATCTTGCACTTTGAAAATTAGGTAAGAGCAGCTGGTCCAATATTTTGGATCTATACCAAAGATCGAGCTTCTCAGTATATAATTATTTATAACAGTATCATTATTAGTTGTAGTAGCGGCAGGAGTGGTATTTGATATAAAAATTTACGCGGGAAGATTTGCGACGAGTCGGGGAGAGGTTTGCGGGGGTCTAGCCCTAATAATTATTAGTGCCAGACCCCTTGCAGACCTCTCGCGTTGCTTGAGGCCTCATACTTTCCTGCACACAAAGAAACGCTCGTGCCACCGCAGCGCTGATAATGAGGGCTTTCTCGCAAGCTAGGAATAGCCGCTGCCATTTATGCATATTTCAGAGTTTTTATTCTGACCTCAATTTTGCCATTAACAATCCTAGCTTCCCTCATATTGTATGGTTCCAATCACGTTGAGACAGATTTTGCCTGTCGCCACAAACGCCTCAAAATTTCTGATTGAGTGCCCTCAAGTATAATCTAGCCTGTTCACATGAATTTCTCTTATATTTTCAGAAAAGAAGAGAACACTAGAATGAAGGACCTTGTTGGTCAACATGGTCCGCTTGCTGTGAATGTGGACGCGACCATGTGGCACGATTATTTTGGTTAGTGCTGTGTATAAAAGGTTGTCGTGCAATTAAGAAAGGTTTGAATTGGAGGAGAATCGTCTTACTCTGTGTTTTACGACGGTTTGGCCTCTAAAACGACTTTTTAAATCTGTTTGTCACAAGCATGCGAGTAAGAAAAGATCAAGGGAAAGGTTACTGTAATAAGTCTGATCAAACTGCCACATCGGCCAGCAGGTGGCCTTTACTTATCGGCTACTTTCAGCCGACAGTTGGTCGGTTGCTTAACGTTTCGTTGTTTGTTTAATTTCGTAGGTGGGATTATACAGCATCACTGCACAGACACAGACATCAATCACGCGGTGCAAATCGTAGGATATGATTTTAACGGTGCGCTGTCTGTTTTTTATACAAAGTATTAAAATTAAGTCAGTTAGACGTTATGAGCCGGTGAAACACAACAATAAAGTTGGTAAAGGATGAAAATAGTGAACCAAGCGAGATTTCTTGAGGGAGTTGGCACGCTAATATTTGGACTACGTCGAGCAGTCTCTCCTATTCGACGAAGTCTGTCACGCGAGTCAAAAAAAATCAGTGAGCTCGTAGAGTGAGGCACTCGCTCAAAAAGTAAGAGTTGTGAGCGCCTCTCTCCAATTTTTTCTCACTGATTATTTCTGACTCGAGCAACGGACCTCGCAGAAAATGAGAGACTGCGCGTAGTCTAGCTAATACTAGGCCACCATATTTCATGGTATTTTTGAGAGGTTTATGTAACCGGTTGCTAAGATCTTGACCGCTACTTCACGGTGGACACTGCATTATCTTGATTGGCGCAACTCAGACTTAAGGATGTTATGTTTTCACAGTTTGTTCTTCTTCCGGATATCTCATTAAATATTGGTCAACCTCTCAGTTTATGGTCAACCAATCTTGTCCCAAGCCGTGCGGGGACATTTAGTTAAGAGACAACGCCAGAGAGAATATGTTAAGATTAGTTTTCCTTGACAAAAATGGGAACGTCTGGATTATGGTTAAGCAGATAATTTTTGAAACATGTTGCTTGCTATCCCTCTTAATTTTCTCAAGTTCTGGACTCTTGCAAAAGCGTCAAAGCTTTAGTATTCCGATTCGGGCAAAGTTGGAACTGTTCCTCTACTTAACACTGATTACTCGTTTCCTTCCCAATTTTAGGCCATATTTGGTATTGGATCGTCAGAAATTCCTGGGGAAAAGACTATGGCGAACAAGGATATTTGAAAATCAAAATGGGCGATAACTTGTGTGGTGAGTTCTGTTAAGCTCTTAACCGAGTACTATTGCAACAACAGCTTAAACTATTCGATGTAGTCGTGTTCATTATAGTCGTAAAGAACACAGGACATTGAGCACAACGTTCTTAATGCAGCATGAGAGCAGTCACACTAAGAAACGTTATATCCAAAGGCCGGGGGAGGTCGAAGAATGCATGGACCTTCCCCCTCCTTTCCGTATGCAGTTGATGTATCATAGAATAGGACATCCTGGTGTCCTCCAAAATCCAGTTAGAAGCTGGTGTGCTCTCTGCGACCCTCCTCCCCCAATCTTTGCTAGAAAATCTCGTCTGTCGCCGCTCCGCAACTTTGAAGGAGTAGAAATTTTTCTCGGTTACTAAATTGACTTTAACGAACAAAATGGTATAAAAATTTTAATAATAAATAGCTTCATTTAAAGAAAAAAATTACTCGTGTTACTTTTTTGTTGATTTCACGTCCTTTTGTATTTCAGGTGTAGCTGACACGCCGTCCTTTGTAGTAATATAAATCCAAAACAGACAATAGAAACTACCACAACCCTTGACTTCAACGCAACTTTTTCCGGCGCCTAGAATCAAGGGTTGTGTTTGGAACAAAGACGAACACGCCCCACATGCCCCAATAGATAATTTGTAAATTGTAAATAATGAAAAGTTGTCGTCACACAAGAGAGCTCACAAAGTTCCCATAGTAGGTACAAAGTCTTAAGCAAAATTATTTGTATTGAAACATTTCTTTATGGTTTTCCTTTTATTCTATTTTGCGTAGATATTTGGAATCTTTATCAAAACTGACTATATATGGAAAATCTCCTGTGAGGCTTTTTAAAGTTTTCTAAACTGTGTAAAAAATCTTTTAAGAAATGATTTTATGTTATCATTTTTAAATTAAAACGATTTTCCGCAAAATTGTCCTTTTGTATTATTTCGCATAATTGTTTTCGAAACCTTAACCATTAACTCCCAGAAGTGATTACCGGTAAATTGCAACTTGTGACAGCCTTCACTGTGGTGTTTAAGTAGAGTAAAGAGGGAAGACTGCCGAGAAAATGCGTATTGCTTTGATCATGAGATAATCAGCCATAACCAGTTATACCAGAATGTATCCCAGCCGGGTATCTTGTTTTGCGGTCAAGAGAAAGGACGAAATGTAAAATGGTGTGTTGCTGTTTCCCTGACAACCGACCTTCTTCGCTTGTTTGCTTTTGCGCGCGTCACCGATGACAAAAAAAGCTTGGTACAAGCTGCTGCGGAGGCAGCCTGGTTTCTAGGGTCTCTCTTCACAACTCTTGGAGCGAAAGAGAATGTCCGCCCCAATCCCCCCCTCCCTCGCCACCGCTACGTCGCAGAGTTAAATGTTCCGTGGCCAGAGAGCTTAGGCCCAGTTTTAAAAAGTCCAATGGTTTAGCGCAAACAAAACGCACAATGGATAGAGATTTATCTGGTGGGTTTTGTAATTTACTCTTTGATCAACCTGGGAATGAGTGCCAGTCAATCGCAAATAAACTCTGCCCCACTCTCTCCACCTTTCCAATATAAAAGTAACATTGAGAAAAATTACCAAGAGAATAACATCAACATATCGAATTTACGACATCAACGATAAAGTGAAAAATTTGTTCTGAAAAGAGTATCTTTATTAAAGCGCATTTTATTAAATATTACGAAAGACACCTGAAATATTACATGCCTTATCAACAACATTTTCCACGAGAATAGCATTGTCATTAAATATTAAAACGAGTTACAAATGGTATCTTTGCTTTATCGTTTCCGTTGCAAATATCAAAAAAGCACTTAAAAAACGGGGATAGAAAATTTCTTGGCTGTCTTAGCTAAAGCATATTTATTTTTATGTATATATGTAATTAACTTTTGAATATGGGAAGCCAATTCAGAAAAATGTTGCGGTCAAATTAAATACAACTAATTCCACAATGACGTGACTACAACTTCAAATCTAACAAACTATATACTGTTGTATTTACAAATATATCGAAATAGTAGGATTCCGATTTCATACAACTAAATTCTGCTCCTGCAGCTCTTCATGAGCCGTTTCAAAATTTTATCGTAATAAAATTATACGTATTCGGTCAAATAACCATTTTTTTTCCAGGAAGGGAAAAAGCGAAAAACATTTTGTCAATGAAAATCGAGTCGCGGAAGTTATACAAAATTAAGTTCCTGGAACACATATTTTCGAAATGACTAGTATATGAAATACTCTCTCGTTGGAAGAATCCCAAAAATCATTTTGAATGGGTAACACTTCAGACTAATTACTGCTTGCCACTTCGTCTCCTTCGGTGTCGACAGTTGGTGCACCTGTAATGCCCGCGTTCTTGACAAGGGAGGAAAGGGCTGACACCTGATCATCTTCACTGCTGTCGCTAAAGTGAGCACTGTCACTGTCGTGCAGCCGACCTCCAACCAGCGCAGTGCGCAGGCGCGCCTTCATGGAGGAGCTTAGTGGCGGAATTTGATCACGTGGTATCAGGAAATTGGACAAGTTAAACAAGTCAACGAAAACCTTGTAACGATCACTGGAAAGGAAAAGAATAACTTATTTCAAAGTAAAACTGAATTATTCGAGGAAAAATTAAAAAAAATAAATAAATGAGCACCAAAGTCTGAAATCGTCGTCTGTGTAGACCAACCTGACCGTGGACCTGAGGTACTGGTATCCAGACGTTCCGCCAGTCCCCATTTTACTGCCAATCATCCGCTGAACCATCATCAAGTGATTGTCTGTAAAGCAAAACGAATAGGTCTGCTAAGCGTGCACACAGTCGGAACCTGTTAACTCAAGTTTGCAACGCTCCACTGTGATTAGCGTCTCTGACTAACATTCGGAATGGGCAACATAAACCCAATTATTGATTCAAAAGGTGATTCTATCATGAACCAATCTCCGGTGACTATTCAGAGATTCAAATAATATTCTGCAGCCAATTTGAAATGGATGCCTCCAACGTTATTTTAACCACCGGACTAAACGATTGTGAACTAGACTTACATCGCCATTTGATTAAATTTGAGTCGATGTCCATCAGCAGTTGAAGAATTTGAAAAGGTTGGTTAAATCGAGGTTCGTCCCTGGAGAAACAGACGTATAAGAACAACTTGTTAAATTTTATAGAAGTTAGGCCTTGAAAACGAGATGGCTGCAAAAAGAACAAACAAAATTGAAGGCAATCCTGACCAAATCCCCTAGAGTTTTGTTGAATAAACTGAGCTATTATCCAAGTATTACCCATGCTTCCAATGATGGGATCTTAAAAAAAAGGATTTCTGGTAAGATGAAAGAGAAAGGCAAAGCAAGACCTGACCGGGAGAATTGCCCCCCCCCCCCCCCGAAAATTTAACCTGGTTTTATAGTCCATATAGGCCTAAGTGCGGTACATGATCTACCTGGCACCTTACCCCCCTCCCCCCTCCACCCCCTCGACCCTCCATACTCTTGAAAGTTGGGGAACACCATCTGTCTAAAGAACCGGGTGCGCCGGGCTAATTCATTAGCCATCGTGCCAATGAAACTAAACGAATGAAGCAGGATAAAGCATTTAAATTCTCACCGATAAAAGTAAATCATCAATGCCCCCTGCATGGCTTTATGGGAAAACCTTCTTTCGCCTGCAACAAAGCAAGAAAATTGATCGGTCCTCATACACTTGAATATTTTATAATATCACTGATGTCATACCGTCACACCATTCTCTAAATGTTCAAGTTACGCGAATGGTTATTCATTCAACAACGCTGCAGCCTGAATTTTTTATTTGTACTCAACGAGACGTTTGGTGCCGTCGCTTGCAACTGAACTTAAAGGTCGACTGATACAAAACTGGTGAAAACAAAAAGGCCCCCCCAAAAAAGGGGTAAGTTTCTAAAGAAGCTGTGGTGCTGCGTCGGTGGAAGAGTATCACAGGGTAATTCATTATTATCAATTGAGTTGATAACGTAAATTGTCCTCCCTATAGAGTTACAAAGCTGACCTATCAAGCGTTGGCCCTTCGTCGGAGCGAATCAAATATGCTCAATACTAAACTACCCTCTGGTAAAAGCCACTCACCAAAGGATGATTACGTTGAGATTCGAGTGGTAAAAACTCGCCCTCATCTGCTTCATCTAAACCCAGTTTGTTCCTAATAAAATTTGTCTTCCCTATTTTGGTATTCCACTCCCCCGCCCAGTTATTATTTCTAAAGTATCTCTCGACTGAAAGGCTGTTTTCTGGGTCTTATGAGAGGATAACATGACCGTGGAGCTTAATAACAGTTTACCTCGAGCCACAAGTTGGTTATGCCTCTCCTCACTGAAGATTGTTTCAAAATGATCCTGTTGACAAAACGTTTGATACAAACATGTGATTACCTTTCACTAACTTAAACCAAAGGAAACATGACTATGTTTTAGTTGATTAAGAGGCGTATTTGCGAAAACCTAACGACGAATGACCTCAAGGTTACAAATGAGAGAATAAAAAATCGCATGGCCTACCTCTTGCTTTTTGATCTCTTTGAACAAAATCGCTCGCACTTCTTCGTCTTCTTCAGCCTGTAAAATGCATGCCACAAATTGTTTGAAAATTTTCGACAAAAGAAGCAGATGCAGCTGTGTTTATCGTATTGAGCTTAGACAAAAGATTCTCAGCCTTTCTGCATCGTTTTCTGCAAGTTTCCGTGTTCCCTGTGTACTCAAAACGAAGTTTTGTGAAAGAGAACATAAGAAGACTTGTCGGTTTTCGTGCAAATCTGCCGAAACAGCTACGACGGTAATTAAAACATCTAGAGGACAAACAAACCTCAGCCTCGGCCTTCTGAGTTTCAAGCATTGTTTGAACACTTGTCTTGTATTTCCTCCAAAAATCAAAGCCATCCTCTTCCAGGCCAGGAGTCCTCTCCAACCAACACTGAAGGTAACAAAAAATCAATCCATGTTGCAAGCCTCTGATTTGTAAACAAAATCGCAAACAGTCTCAAAGAATCAAAAAGTCATCTTGTCTTCAGGAACTGTTTTGAGAAGATTCGATAGTTTTATGAAAGCTTTCAGCCACTGCAAAAACTAAAAAATTACGGAGTGAAAAATTGTCCGCTTTTTCAAATCACAAAATGACAGGTCGCTTTGTTAACAAAACCCACCTGGACGAGTTCTAGCAGTGAAGCCGTGCTTTCAGATTCTTCAAGCTGCTTCCCATCTTGCGAATCGAATGCTTTACTGAAGAATAAACCACAACAAAGAACAAAATGTAGCAAAAGGAGTAGCAAATAATACATTCGAATAAGAAATAAATGTTTTGTGTAGCCAACTAAGAATTGGTGCCTTCAATGAAAAAGTAACAACGATTGCGTTCATTCCTATTCGGTGGAAGGGGGTATACGTATAATTTTGAAGTTTTAAGAGCAAATGGAATACATTCGAATATTATCCATACAGTTCATAATTCATTTCTTAAGATGCTGACAATGAGAATTTGTTTAACAATCAAGACCTTCTTTCGTTGGCGATCATTTCCTTTATTCCTGTAAATAATCAGGATATAATCAGGGGAGATATTGCAAGAAGAAATAAGATGTTTATCACTCTTAGAGGTGAAAGGGTCAAGGCATAGAAAGGGTGAGGAAAACTTCAACTGACAAATTTACAACCGTTAAAAAGGCTGATTTGATTTTTTTAGGCGGTTACTAAAGAGAAAAGTATTCACAAATTTTTATACAAATACCATTCATTAGACGTCCCTTGCCATAAGAATTTTTTTTCTAGCAAATTTAATGTTATACCTCAGGAACAAATGGTATGTGAAATCTGGGGAGAGGGATTCTTCGCACAAAATTTACTTGAGTACACCGCAGAGTTTGCACGATGTCATGATGGATTTCATATCATAAGTTCAGGTGCTTGAGTCTTATAGGAAAAGTATAGGAATAGCTCAGAAAGCTGGAGTTCGCTAAGATAGAGCAATGCCATAACTATGAAAGACTACGAAGGAAGCCTTCGTGAGTTCAAACAAAGGTGCATTGAACTAAAACACAATTAAAATTTTATTCCCACGCACCTGTAATCCTGGTAATTGTAGCGGATTCTGTGGGTCTGTTTACGAAAAGAAAACCAAAACAACAACAGAAGCAAAAGTTATAGATTTAATTAATTCCTTTATCCCCATGGCATGGCGATAGCGCTCTTTCAGCTATGATCAAGTCCTTGCCACTGCACGTCTGGACACTTAAGATTCTTTATCTCGATTATTCATTGGGTTCCTTTCCAAAATTTTCATAAACAAGGCCAGAGTAATTCTTACTTCACCCTGAAGAAAACTCAGAGTCTTTCTGTTCTCAAGTGTTCTGCCGTGGGGTATGTTCAAAATTTGTTAACTATTTAACCCCTAAGAGTGACTAACATCTAATTTCTCCTTACAATATCCCCCCTGAATCAAACATTAGGGTCATGAGAACAAAGGAGATGATCACCAAACTAAAGAGGCTCTTGATTGTTGAACAAATTCTCCTTTTCAGAACCCTTGGAAATGTCAAGGGATTACTATGGAGAATATGCATACTGATCATACATACCTTGTTAATGCCAAGTTTATTCTCAATCAACCTGAACTGGAGACTCTGAAATCCTGACGCGGGTGCTAAATAATCTCTAGAGGCCAGAAAAGTAAAAGAAAAAAAAAAAGAAAAGAAAAGATTTATCTATCTTCAAACGAGAAACCTTTCATCATCCTGTTATTTCCCGTTCAACACTTTCAAATGTTAAGGTTTGCTATTAGATTTGTAAAACAAATGAAGTACATTCGGAGGATATTCCATCCCAGTTCTGCAGAAATAAACCAAAATGATCCAAAATCTTCAATCCCAACTAAGAAATATTAAATTTTTAACCCTGAGAAAGAAAGAAGTCCGTTACGGCTTGAAAGATCAGAGTTCGCCAGAAAACTGTACTTGATCGACAGGGATGTTGGTTAGTGACTGACCTGAATTCCATAAAATCCAGTGGAGTCATGGTCTCTAGGATCATGATCTGATCACGTAACAGCTAAAAAATTATACAAATAAACGGAAAATCAACCAAGCTGATTATAAGTGTCTAAATTTCACTTCATCATGCATTATTACAGGGAGCATAAGCTGGTTTTTGAAAATCGAAGATCTTTACATGTCTTCTAATGAAAATAACGCAGAAATTCCCTCATCGATGAAAAGACTACCAACCCATCTTTTATCGATAATTATGCAGGGTGGATTGAAATTAATTTGGTTCAAAACAAACAGGCAAATAAAAACATTTTCAGTTCTAAACAAAAATGAATTCAATGACTCACTTTTTGAATCTGTACAATGCGACCCAGTCTTGAGATTAAAACAAGCATCTTTCTTTCATCAGTGCCCTGAGAAAATACCAAGCATTATCGGAGTTATAAAAAAGGTAATTACTTAGAAACTTTAAGTTAAAGCACCAACTTCGTGTACTCCACCGGATTGTCCTCCTTTGCGTAGAAAAAAACTGAACGCTGGGTGTCACAAGATACAGGTAAATGAAGTCAATTTTCAATCACACTCGTAATAAGAGTAACAAAGACGCTAGCAGGATATCAAACAAGTAGTTAAGTATACCCCGTGTACCTACCCTGCTTTCTCTCACACTCCCGTCTCTTGCTCTTTATTACAAGAGATTCCAAATCAATGATAAATGAATATCTGCATTTTTCCATTACTTTCAGCAGCCCCCTGTCCCTCCCCCCTCCCCCCCCCCCCCCAGCGCTAAGCAGATTCAAACCTTCAGACTTCCATTGCTGCGGTGCAACTCACTTACATAGAGAATGAATTACCCTCTTGCTTAGCTTGCGTGGCGGGTGCTCCATCTGAGAGGCGCGCGGGTGATTTAGAAGAAACCTGCGCTAAAGGATAAGAAAATTCCCTCCATGCGCTTCTCTGCTCTCTCAAGCCCGAACTCCGAACGCAAATCCGTCCATGCATTCGTTACATACGTAAACATGACTGTACAAACACAAATGAATGCTAAACTTAACAACTACAAAACTGAAATAAACCTACCAATTCTTCAAAGGTAAAAATGTCCCTGATGGAGTCCAACTCATGAATAATCTGCTTGAACCATAGTTCATAAGCTAGAGGAAAAATAAGTTCCAACAATTAATTAATTTAAGTTCATTTTCAAAATACTTTCCAACGATTACTGTGCAATAGGCTGTTTGACTGAGACATCATTATCCAATGGCAGATCCAGATGGCCGGGGTCTGGACTCCACTCCTAAATTCAGACCCGTGGGTTTTTGTCCAAACTTGCATGACACCAAAATTCATGCAACAGCAAGATCGCTTATGATTTCTCAACAAGCTGTGAGAACCAGGAGTGAAAGGGAGGGGAGGAATTAGCGGGCGTGGATTAGTCGAAGGGGTAATAACCGAGCTGAAAAAGATTCTGTGTTTTCTAAACCAAAGTCTGGACCCCTCCCTCCCGCCTCCATCAAAAATTCCTGACACCACCTCTGCTATCCGTTAGATCAGATCTCATTCTGTCCACCCTAGAGCTTCCATAGAAAGAGCCACGGAGCCCTGGGTAAAAAAGCTTGTGTAGACGTACCTTGATGAACCACGATAAAAAGGAGCTCATCATGGACGGTTGCATCACCAAATTTAGTGCTTGCTGGCTTCTGGCATTCAAGGAGAGTGTTGAGCTAAAAAACAAAATAATGCACAGAGAGGAAACTTTTAAAACAACGGTACCATTCGCCGCCGAATGAGAACTTTACTGAAAAATAGCATCCGAAATATAACGTTACCAATATTCAACATGCAAATGAACAACAGCTTACACGTGCTAATAAATTTCGATTAAGCGCGTTTGGGAAATTTACAAGAAAGTGCGCGCTTTAATTCTGACGCGTTTTCTGCGCGTTCATTTGACTGCTTGTCTCTGAGTGATACAGCGTGACGATCTTGCTTGCCACGGAAGGAAACCTCTCACTTTACAAATCAAGTTTCTCCTGATAGTTTCATAAGTGTGAAAAATACCATCTGTCCTATTATTGGATTTCCTATGAATTTTTGTTCTCCACTCCAAAGGAAAATTTCATTTCCTGTCATGAAACAATAGCTTGCAAATTGGCACTGATGCAGAACTTTTAAAGTCAAAGAGTTGATTTAGCTAATAGCAAATGTACTGAAATTTAAAAAGAGCTTTTATGATCACGGATTTATATCTGATTCATTACTTCGATATCCATCCAAGAGTATAATGAAAATAAAAATAAAATGCTACAGATTTGGTCTCCATATGCCTAATGACGAACTGTGAGAGGAAAATAATAAACAAAAGTCTTAATCCCTTTATTGAAGAACTGTGCAATAGTCATTAGCTCGCCTATTCCCCTGAGAATATTGCTATGTCAACAAATTAAGGATCGAAAGTTGATAATTTATTCATAACGTTTCTAAGGCTGTCGGATTTGTTGACTGGTGCATTATTAAGAGTCAATTACTTTGTGTGTTTAAGAAGCCTGCTGACAGCAACACTGAAGTCATCAATATCTAAACGAAAGCAAGCTACCAAGATTCCCTTAAAAGTTGAAACCTTAGCAAGAGACAGATCTGTCCAAGCTGGTCTTTATAAAGGATATTTAGGAATGAACAATTGTAAGTTCAGTGACAGAGAGAAGATAATGGACCTACATGTATGGTTGTTGTATTGAGTGTTCCAGACAAAAGAAGCAAACAGAAAACCTACCCACTGCCAGGTTCAAGTTTCCTTTACCAAAATTCTCAAGACAAATTCCACAGAGCTCAGTCAGGAAATAATCCCTATCTAGTGCTAATGCCACATATGTAATTATACAGAAAATGAAGAATCAAACTTTGATACTTGTCAAAGAGCTTAAGAAAAAACCATGAGGAACAGTTTACCAAGATCTGAACTTGACAAATATACAACTGGTGGTAAAGATCCAAACTATATAGTAAGATCATGGGCATCCAAACTTGGTACAGTCACACAGGGGCACAAGCTCCCCAAATACACCTATCGCAGCAAATGGCTTCAGACACTCAATCAGGTGGAACTCATGCAAAATGTTGAAGTGCAACAGACACTTAGAAATGTGATGAGCATACTGAAAGCTGGGGATGAAAGCATGCAAGATTCTGATAGTGCTTATGAATTTGCAGAAAAGAGGAGGATTGAGAAATGCCATGAGACTGTATGCAAGATTAGAAGTTACAGTAAAACAAGTGAAAAATTGTCAAAACTAGAAGTTGAGGATATAAACAAAAATGGCCCACAATCTAAAACTCTATCAGAAAACAGAGCCAAAACAATTAGAAAGAGTCAGAAGTTAAAAGTGCATCCCTCTCCAGACAAAGAATTGGATGTTGCCAAGGTCAATAGAAAGTTTGCAAAAATTGCAAAAATTGAAGAAGGTTATGATAGCTTCCCAAGAGAAAGCACACTGACGAGTGAGAAGCTTTTCATAGATCAAGAAAAAAGCCCAGATGATAAAAAAGTACTGTTACCTCCAATTCCTGAAGTAAGTCCAGAAAATTCACTTCCAAAAAAGGGGAAGGACTCTTGCCATTACTCACTACCAACACTTGATACTGAAAGTAAATTTTGTATAATAAAACGAGCCAAAGAACTCCGCAATGAGCGTGATTTGAAAATAAGAAACCAAAGCCTCACAACAATGTCATCAGAGATACATAGAAAATACTCAAAAGCGAGAAAAATATCTCTAAAGAACTATCAAGATCAGAAGATAGAAATTTTTGGCAATAACAGGAAACTTCTCAATGTAGAATCCAAAGTTGATGTGGAAGAAAAACTGACTACACTGCCTTTGTTAGACAGTAAGTCTTTCAGTGAAATTGACTGTAATGATTACCTGGATCTAACCAATCGCATAGATAGTCTCTCGCCCACACCAGCTGTTCTAGATCATAAATTGTACTGGTCTTTAGCTACTAAACCTCGAGATAAGTAATGTAAACAAAATTTGGTGTTTAAACAGTTGTTGTGCAAAATTAAGTTACAGAATGTACATGTCATCACAGGTCATTGTAACAAATTTTAAATGACATCTAAATCTTGGATCTGATTTGTATAAAAATGTATAGAAGCAGGAAGGGAAAATTTCGAATAAAGAACAGCTATGATCGGAGCCAGCAGAAAATAATCCCATTCTCTATCAAAATATCATGTACCAAGACAGAACACCTGTATTTGTATTTGATGAGACCAAACATCTGCAGTGAAGGAGACTAGGATTCAAATGCATTTAAAAGTCTGAACTCAGTTGTAAAATTTTGCTATAAACTCTCAAATACTCTGACTTAGCCCTTCAACTCCCAGATCAAATTTGTAGTTCTCCTTACTGTCAATCATACAATTCTTATAACATTAGTTTGGAGAATCTAGTATTGGATCAACTAATTACACCCAAATTGATATTTTTCTTTATTCTCATCACTTGCCTGGTTGATATTGTATTGATATTGTAAGGAGAAATTCTGTCTTGGTCACTCATGGGAGTTAGAGGGTTAACTTCCTAATTGTACCAAATTAAATATTCAACATACACATGGAAATTAAATAACATAAAATAATATTTTGTTACATCAGCCTCCATGAAATAATTCCACAAATGAAATCAGAGTTATACAGATATCATAAATTTCAGTAGCATTAAACTTGCTTTATGTGTGTCATAGTTCACAACAAGATATTATTTTATGACCTACTTGAACAAAATTACACCAGAAATATCACAAATTGCAATAAAATTAATTCAATGAATCCTGCATATCTCAATACATGAAGAGGAAAAGCTTTTTTAAAGCTAATCTAATATTTGCGCAGTAATGATCATATTTTTTCTCTACTCTTGTTCATGACTGTCATCACATAAACATAACGTATCATTTTACTACATGCATAAAATCTATTTATGTTATACATACCCAAACAACTTGTGATATCTGAACAGGAATTAGGTGATTGTTTCATAAACTCATTCAAAATTAATAGCGATAAACAGGAACACTCTTCAGAGACATAATTTAACGACGTTTCATTCCAAATTACACAAAAAGCAATTTCCATGCACGAAATATCACCATATATATAATATTGAACAGGCTAAACTAGGTAATTGAACATCGTTTTAAGTTTTAGCGAATTTTCTTTACTTATTGTACATGTACAACTCTTTATACTGTCGGAATTTTGCTCCTTTCTAAAGACACTTTTAATACTCAAAATAAGCTCATTCAAAATATTTCAATCTCCTTTACTCTTCAGAAACTTCAGATGCGAAAAATCTCCTTCCAGATGAGAGCCACCGCGTGGATATTAAAGAGAATCGCAACATCTTATCAGTGTTTTATTCGACAATCCTTGTCATAGCCTCCAGTTATAAATAATTCACATAAAGGAACGGTACCATGAGAAATACTGATTGCACTTCCCAAATGTGCTCCGCTATTTTATAACAAGAAATAAATAACAATCAGGCGCGAGAAATTTGATACAAACACAGTTATGTTTGTATGATGTAACCATCGCTTTGTTAAGACTTAACTCGTACAATAAACTCCTAAAAGTTAGGAGTTTCCAAATGGTATTTACATACGAAAAGTTTAATCACCAAGGGCTAATAAGGTATTCCCGCAAGGGACGCATGCGATTTACATAACGGGAGCTCACAGAAGCGTAAAACTCAGACATATGCTCACTTCGAGAATCATGGCGATAACAAACAATCGACTGTTTGATAAATGTGCCTACCGAAAGATGTACAAGGCAAGGTTACCGTTTTAACCAAAAATTATACGTAAAAACGAACCAAAAACGATCTCAAACCTGTAGATAATCTCCATAAGACATCCGTTTGTCGTCGCCATTCTTGCGGACTGGTATATTCTCCCTGCTGAATCAAAACCATACAAAATCAAAATACCTCAACAGCGGAATCGACTCGTAAAACTCCGAACACATTAAGATATCGATCGAACTTTCTTACCCGTCGTGAGCGTAGGGGCAACTCATAGTGAAAGATTAATTTTCTGAAAACTCTGACCAACAATCTGCTACTCGCGCGAAAAGCGATCGTGACCGGCTCACGAACGAAATGACTGGAACCGTTTACTCTAAAGGGGCGTGATTGGAGGCGTAACACTGGCTCTTAATTGATACCCTACGACAGAACCCCTTGGGCCCATTTCGTACATCATCATAGTGTTCCTCAAAGAGACGATCCTAGAATCTTTTTTAAAAGAAATACGAAATACTACACAAAACTATATTTTATTTCATTAGGTGGTTATGATTTAATGATTAGTGTACAGATCTAGATTTAAAGTGCGAATTTATTTGGGACTTAGCTGTCACAATGAGTTTCCTCTTTAAGACTATTTTGTTTTGCTTCCATTGCCTTGGACACACTCTAAAGTTCCTATTTTCGCTTTCTTAATCAAGGATTGATTTTTAGATCGGAAGAATTGAGTACTTTGTCATTCATTCGTGAAATCCTCGTAAAAAGTGTTTTGTTAATGTTCTGATAAGCATACACGGGTCCTAGATGCCTTCTGCTAAGAAAATAGTACCAGCTCCGCAGTTAGTTTCTCCCTATCTCCATCGCAGCGTTCGTTTAGACCGTATCACAGAAAAATTATGGTAATTTTAAAAAGCAGTTTCCTCGTTACTCGATCCTCAAGTCCAATTTTGAAGTTGTCTGCAACCGTGGCAGGTGCTTAGATAGCAAGGGTGGCAAGAGGAACGCGGAGTGTATGAAGAAATATCGTGCAGCTTGCTTCTAAGGCGAATGGGTCAACAATTCGCGCAAGGCCAACTTCAGTATAAAACCCCTTTGATTGTGTGTTATTGATGTCGTTGACCAATTCTAAGCAAATGGCACTGCAATGAAAGTGAGTTGAGGTCAAACAATTCGGATTAAAATGCGACAGCTCCGGATATGTAGCCATCTCAGTGAGTTCTTTTAATCGCGAAAAGGCGCTCGGTGCCCATTTGAAGAAATATGATAGACGATTCTTTTTTAATTGTTTCATTTGGGCAGAGGCGTATGGAACACGTACGCTTTCAAATCGTGTTAAACGTCCTACAGAAGACAACTGGATCATGTTTGTTTGCTTCGGACCATTTTCCTTTTAGTTGCTTAAAGAGTGACGGTTCATGGCTTCTCCCGTTTTTTCAGCTTTCGTAGAAATAGAATCTGCCAGTCGATTGGTTCCCTCTTAATTCGTTCTACATCATCAAATCAGATAAGAACGATAGTTGGAAAAATGTGGGAAAAGCAAACATCAGGTGAATAAAGAACAGGTATCCAGATGAACCAAAAATAATAGGTTTTTCGCGATTCTATTTGACCTATTGCGTAAAGTTACAACTTATATCACACAGGTATCAACTTGGTTAATTTTCCGAGTACACTACTGTCCTCTTAGTGATATCATAACCACTGCCTTTTACAAACAGTGAGTCAAATCAAATATTCAAACCACAATCATTCAAACATAAATACAGAAAAGAAATTGGGTAATGTCTGCGGTTCATGTGTCGATGGAAAAACAAAATTCACCCGGAGTGAAAGTAAAGTTATAGCTCAGAACATAAGACCTAACTTCCCTGCCTCAATCAAATGGCGTTCTATTTCAATGAAAAAAATGGAACAAAACGAAGATTCAAGAAGCTTACCTGAGGTGGTCATTCACACTGTTTTAATCAGTCAAGCACTGGTTCTGTCTCAATTGGGAAATTCACTTTTCTGCCTCGCCCTTTATCGAAACATAAGACGGCGAACCATCACCAATATGTACCTGCTGTCTCTTGCAATGGCTGATGTTATGATGGCCATCTTTGTGTTTCCGTCTCTTCTAGTCGCTTCTGGTTTAAGCAGATGGTCCTTCAGTCAGAGCTTCTGTCAATTTACGGGTTTACTCACTACTTTTTGGGCTGAGTTTTCGCTTTGCATTCTCGCAATAACAGCGATTAATCGTTATTTCTGCGTTATGAAGCTACAACGATATGCCTCCCTTTTCACTAAAAAAAATCCATCTTACTGATATTTTCGGTTTGGACTTTCCTATGTGTTTTTAACGTTATATTACATGTCGTCGTTCACATCATCTACAAATGACGACCAGAAGACTTGCACTGTAGAATAAATTTTGGTGATGAGAGATTTCAGAAAATAATGCACATAGGTTTTTCATGTCTTAATTTCCTATCGATGTTCATACTGTTTTTTTGCTTATGGTAAGATCTATCGTTTTATCGGAAGACACAATAACGCTGTCCACCCTTCACTTCAAGCGTCACGAAACAGCCAAAGAACGTTGGGTATTCATGAGATGAAAGCATCCCGAGTTTTATTTGCGACAGTATTCAGCTTCTGCGTTTCTTGGATTCCTGCAGGCGTTCTGACCATTTTAGAGTTTGGCTTTGATATGTCTATTCCTTCCACTGCACGGTCATTACCTTTATTGTTCGCTTCTATTTCGGCATGGCTTAATCCAGTTATTCATGGCGTCATGAACAGGGCCATGCGTAAGGAATATAGAAATACTTTATTCTGTCGGAAAGAAAAATAACTCTTCAAATAAGATTGGGAGTTAGTATTGATCACATCACCCTTCTCCCTAAGTTTTCCGTTAACTTTATAATGATAGACTTTTCTTCTGTAATCGTTTCGATTTGGCAGAGACGCATAGACCATCTGCGCTTTCAAATCGTGTATAACTCTCTACAAAACGCAACTGGTTTGCTTTTCAAACTTGAGGTTGTTTATAATCTCAGTTACAGACTACATTAAGATTGTGGCCGATTTCTACCGCAGTCTTTTAAGTGCTAATTTATCTGTGAATATAAAAATTTCGGCAAGAGAAGAAGGAATTTCGTCCCTCTCATGTCGTCTGCGGCACATACTGGGCAGCCATTTTGAATTCTTGTTTACCTATTTCAAACCACGTGACCAAATAGCTAAAAGGGTCAATTAAGTCTTATGGATGAAGTCTTTATCCAAGTGTAAAGATACGATGGCCACAGTTGTAGGTGGATTTGTGTTTGTCGGAAATCAACCATGTATGAAATGGGTCAGTCGGTATCCACACCCCTCCCCAATAAAAAAATGAACTGAGTCAATCAGTATCCACACCCCCTTCCCAACAAAAAATTATGTTTCTGTACTCCTCTTGACCCCGCCTTCTGCTCTCTGCTTGCCTAACGACATTAAGAACTTGTGGTTGAGTTACAAAGCAGTTTATTCTTTTCTATGAACGAAGTATCTAAAACAGCGTCACATTAAAATTATTGTGTTAACCTCAGTTAAAAAAAATATCCTAAAATCTATATTTCAAAATCGAACAAAGGTTCGCATCAAGTTTGGCTCAAAATAACAAGTAAACGAAATGTTGATTCAAAGTTATCCGAAAACGCTTTAAAAAAAGCTTGAACAATGAATATCGTTAACTGAACTGAAAAAATTTTCGTCAATCATCGTTCGTAAAATATAAATGGTACAAGACGTCACACAAACAGTCTTCATGCAGAATATATACGTAAAAAAGTGAAAACCACGTAAAGAAATGCCTAACTTCGATTCATTTGCTACTGTTATGAGCAAAAGAGTTCAACAGCTGCGTTACTTAAACTTAACACTAACACTAACACCTAACGCCTGTCACGAAACACAAAAATCCAGTCAACAGTTCTAAGCCTTTTCATCATCAGCGTTGACTTGCGGGTGGTTGGCTTGCAGATCTTGCATTTTCTTGTTTCCTCGGCGGTATTTTTTGCGGTACAATATGGCTGCAACAAGGAGGACGAGCAAGAACCCAACTATGGCACTGCCGACAGCAGAAATCAGCAAAATGCTTCTCGTTTCCTTAGGTCGAACAGTCTCTGAGATAGTTCCTGCTTCCTCTTTGCTCACATCACCACCCATGTTGGGAAACACCACGTCAACAATGTATACGTACTTCTTATTCACGTGTTCTCGGACGAACTCCGCCATCACATTCTCAAACTGTTGGCATTTTCCATCTCGGGCGCAGCTCAGGAGCTCCAGGCACATTTCATGCAGCATGTCCATCCATTGTGGAATGTGGGCTGTCTTATTGTCATGGAAGGCATCGCTGAAATACCAGAAAAACCCAGTGCGATCTGTGACGCGCCGAATAGCGGCCATCAAAGTCAGGTACTCGCTCCAAGCCAGATCATGAGGACAGAATGCGGTGCTAATGGGTGTAAACACTTGACCAGCGGTATTCAAGGCTGCATCGCATTCTGTGGCCAGCTTAAATGGTATGTTTTCGGTCGCGTTGCCCCTCTCTCCGTATTGGTGTACCGAGTCATCATCAACAACCATGTGGTTTGCTGTGAAACCTTCATATGTGGTTACTTTATCGTATGACGAGGGATACACGGCTTCAACTCTGCACCAACCAGGCTTACGATCAGCTCCGGAAATTCCTCGGATGAAGTCTCCATTGGATAGCTGTGATACGCGGATGATTCCTCTGCTTTGCTCCTCTACATGCATATCACCAGATACACACCCATTATTATTACAGCAATCGGTGCAGTCGCTGCATTTTCTATTGTCGCTTGCGCTTGCACCAACATCTGCACCTCGAGTCGATATCGCTTGCAGAAGGGTCCCGATAACAAGCCAAATTCATTATATGAGCCATGCCGCCGGTTCGAAGAGCTTCAGAAAAAATGAAGAAAAAAAAAAGTGGCAATTTATCAGAAGAGGAAAATAGATATCTTGCCTGATCTGTTTGGAAAAAAATTAAAGAATTTACGACCATATGAGGTGATTTATATACATTTCTTCCGTTCAGCCGGTCTTCACAAAATTGAAAGATATTTTTTTGTTCTCTTTTGATTGATGTAAACCTGTAGAAGCTCTAAGTAAAAAGAAAATGAGCATGGGAAAATTTCCGAACAAATTTAGTCTTAAAAATGGCAAATGTGCAACGAATTTTCCTTTCTCACAAAAAGTGAATACTACAGCTCAAAAACTGAGAAAAAAATTGCCTATAATTCCATGCACATAAAGTTTACTTAATAAATGCTTTAGCTAAATAAACAATTCAAAGCATG